CCCGGCGCAGCCCGCCGCGACCCCGCAGCCCGCTCCCAGGCCGTGCACCCCCGGGGGGCCGAGGGGACGGCGCTCGAGCGCCGTCCGGTCCTCACCTCGATGTAGCCGGCCAGCGCCGCAGCGGGCGCCGTGAGCCCGAGCAGCAGCAGGAGCAGGAGCCTGCCTGTGACAGCGATGACCGCGGTCCCGGTGGCCGCCATCCCTCGCCGCTCGCCTCTAGCGCAGCGCTCCCAGGTTCACGCACACAGATCCCAGCGCTTTTCCCACCGCGACCCAGAAGCATCTGAAGCTAGTTCGCCGCCGCCCCGGGGGTTTTACACCGACCGGAACTGACTTCACAAAACCACGCCCTCCCTATTCAGCGTCCAATGCCGGCCCGCAGAACTGTCCGCAAGACACCGCCCCTTATTCAGTTACAGCCAATCAGAGCACGAAAGAGCTAGCTTCTCCCGCCTGCCCAGCCGCGCACACCCGCTCGGCCCCGCCCCTGGCCGCGGACGGCCCCGCCTCCGCCTCGGACCCGGAGGCCTGGAGGCGTGCGGCGGCGCGCGGGGTGGGTGGCGGAGGTGCGCCGCGGGCGCGGGGGCGCGTTCTGGCCTCGCGCGGGGCGCGGGTGTCGGCCTGCGCTGAGCGGCTCGGTCGCCGGCCGTCCGGATCTGGGCGCTCCGGCTTCCCCGCCCTGCGAGGTATTTTTCAGATTCCTCCGGGGACCGCCCTCTCTTTGAGGTCTGGAAATGGTTTTCTTGCAAACAGGATAAACTGTGGGGAGTCCGGGAGGTCGGCCGGGCGGTCCGCCTGGGCAGGCGCCGGCCGAAGCCGCGGCACGACTCGCGCGCGGCCGCAGGGTCTCCACGCCGCGGGGCCGGGCCTCGGCCGGTGCTCCGGCCTGCGCTGACGCGCGTGCGGGCGGGCGGAGCCCGGGCCTGCGGCGCCCGGCCGGGCAGAGCCTGTTTCTGCAGCCCGCCGCCGCCCCAGCCCGACCCCTGCCCCCCGGCTCTCGGCTCGGCCGCGTCCCCATTTGGCCGTGGCACCCGCGTCGCCTTCACGAGGCCCTCGGGCTTTGTTTCCTGCGGTTACCCTGCGATTTCTGCACCGCTTCTGCAGAGACCTGGACTAGGGTCGCTGGTGTCAGTCAATGGCGAGCAGGGTCCCCGCCCTCGGGAAGTGACAGTAAAGGACAGATGGTGTTCCCGAGTGCGGCGCGGCGAGGAGACCCACGTGACGCGCAGCTCCCGGTGGCCAAACTGGCTCTGCCTCATTCCGCAGACTGCGGGCGCCTTTCGGGGCACAGCCCTTCCTGAGCTGTCCCCGGCCCCCCTCGATGCCGGTCCGCTGAGAACATTTTCACTCTTTTCTCTCCATGATCAAAGAATACGGTGCATATTTGAGTTTAAAAAAATATATATGTATATGTGTATTTACTATAAGAAAACGCTGTCGAACTCCCCTGAAAACTCCCTGGCTTCGAACACAGCCACTTTCTGAAGCTGTTCTGGATTCTATCTTCTTTCTTGAGTATCTTCATGGCTCTGTCTTGCCTGCCTTGGTGTCCTGAATCATTTCAAATAGTTTACCTTTCCTGGTCATTTTTACTTTCCGGGAGAGCCACAAATTGCATGACAGCCACTCTGGTGGATAAGGTGGACAAGGCCACATGCTGTTTTACAAGCCTGCCTGCCAGGTGCCACTCATCTGGCGGGGCAGCGTGTGCCTTCTCACACCTTGTAAGGTTACTCCGAAGAGCCCAGCAGTGATTGAGAAAGTGGCCCGAAGTCTGAGCGTGTTCAAATCCAGGGGGAGTATTTGGAGAGGCTAATGGCAGGATGTCTCTTAGTCTAGCATTTCTAACATTTAAGCACACTGTAGTTTTTGATTAGCCGCCGTAGATGTCATGTCATCCACTTTTGAATCTGGACGAGGGTCTCCCACTTGGACTTGCTCTCCTGGTAATTTCTGTACCTTTCTTATGTCACTGATGAGACAGACTTGATAATGTCGTGCTGCACTGCCCGTCAGTGAGACCTCAACAAATGTTTGTTCAGGATTACTGAAGCCAGTGGTCCCTGGACTCTGGAGCTACCCTGCGCTTAGCTCTGAATTTGGCCCTCCTCCTGGTTAGTACCTGAAGGCCTAACCCCAAGGTGGTTTTATTTGTGAAGAGGGTCTGTGGAAGGTAACTAGGTTTAGATAAAGTAATGGGGGGGGGAATCAAGTAATAGGGATGGCTGCTCCCTTAACAGGATTAGAACGTTAGTAAGTATGAAAAGACAAGGACTCCAGAGAGCTGGCCCTCCCTGCTTGCTTTTCTTTGCCATGCTCTTTTCTGAAAGCCAGAAAGAAGGCTTATCACTGAAGAACTAAATTGGCACCTTGATCCTGGACTTCACAGCCTTGAGAACTGTGAGAAACGAATTCCTGTCATCTAAAGAATCCTGTGTAAGGTATTTTGTTTCTCGCACCTGGAGCTGTTAGAACAGCTGTGTAATAATGGGCAAGTTCCTTCCTCTCTTGGCATGCTACAAACGTGAAAATCAAGGCCTATCTCATTTCACCAATTTGTACTCAGTGAACAATGAATGTACAAGGCAAGGATGGTGGCTCTGCCTGTAGACCTAACCCCCTGGAGGCTGAGGCAGGAGAATTGCTAGCCCAGCCTTTTGCCAGCTTAGTGAGATCTTATTTCAAAATGAACAACAGGAAAAAAAAAAGAGAGAAAAGAAAGAAAAGAAAAAAGCAGCAAGAAAGAGCTGGGAATTTGATGATAAAAATAGATAATAGGACAACCATTGTTAATTAGCTATTATTTTTAAAATCTGTAACATGTGTATTGTATGTTATCCTGTTTCTGCTATTTGTTTTTTACTCTTCAAAATAAAATGAAACTAAGGGTCGGTGAGATAGCTCAGCAAACTAAGTGCCTGCTTGGGGGAGCACAGGGACCAGGATTTGATCCTTGGCACCATCAGCTGAGCCGGCCCTGTCCCTGTCCCTGTCCCTGTCCCCAGGTGTGCTGAGCTGTCTACCGAGTCCTTCAGGTGGGGTAGCGCACCCCTGTAATCCCGGTGCTGGGGAGGTTGAAAGCAGGACGATCACTACAAGTCTGAGCTGCAGAGTGAGACCCTGTATCAAATACATAAAAAAATTAAAGTAAGTTAACTTTTTAAAAAAGGCTGGGAGGGGGCCTGCCCGGTAGCTCAGTTCTTTAAGTGGCTGCTTCAACAAAGCAGTCAGGCTCAGGTTGCTTGGGTTGATCCCCACAACACAATACAGCCAGTCATGCCTTGAAGGCATTCCGAGCAACAAAAAAAAATAAATAAATAAAAATAAATAAATAAATAAATAAATAAAAAAGGCTGGGAATGTAGCTCAGTGTGAAGGACCTGGATTCAATCCCCGATACCATAAAAAAAAAAAAAATCAAATCAAATAAAAATGAATGTACAAAAGTGAAAAGCACAAGATCCTAACTCTAATGGACAGGGAAGGATAAGGTAGTGTACAGTTGTGTTAGTTGATACGTTGTGTCAACTTGGCGGAATCAGCTCTGCCGGTTCTCAGCGTGGGGGCCTCGCCCTGCAGGTGGGCAGGGCCCAGGAATTGAGCAAGGCAGGAAGCCGCCCTGCCGACTTCCTGCCGCCCTGCCCCGCTGCCATGGAGAAGTCCCAGTCTTTGGAGGTGCTTCATCTTTGCAGTCGCGCCACTTTGGAGAAGCGCCAGTCTCAGCAGTGAGCTTAGAAGGAAGAGCGAGGCTTGATGGATGCCGCCGCCGCTGCTGCTCCTCCTCTGCTCTTCATTGTTTTCTGCCGCATGAACTGCTGTCGTTTGCCTTGGAACTAGCGGAATATGGACTGAACCCTCCAGTAACTGTGAGCTAAATAAACCTTTCCTTCCTTCATTTTGAGTGTTGGGTATTTGTCCCAGCAACGAGTAAAAAAGTAACTAAGACAACAGTATCAGCAGGTACAAGTTTATATGTGAGTGTATAAGCAGACAATACATTTGGACTAGTAAATTTCGGTTCTGTTCTGCAGCCTTGTGTAACTTCAAAATCAGGACTTGAACTTGGGGATCTCAAAACGTCTATAAACCTATCAGAGAAAACCGAGTGAAATTATTTGAATTCATAGCAATGGCTTTGGGGAATGTGTATTTCAGTATGACCTCTAATTCATGGGAGGAGACAAGGAAAATTATTTAGAGGGTCTTCAATTTAAAATAGGTAAGTCCTCAAGGAAGTTTATTTGCATTTTCAGGTCACTACAAGATTATTAATAAAAGCTGTTTGTCCCTTTCGTCATGTTTGGAACTTGAAAATATTTGTCTTTTTTTACTCAATGAAATGTGGGGCATGTCTATCCTTGCAGTTTTTGAGGGCTAATTTTTCCTCTCCAATTTGTTCATGTCAGTATCCAAAGATTAAAAGTTTTTTGTTTTCATTGTATTATTTTTTGTGCTTAAAAGTAAAAGGCTCTAAAAAAGGGGTGGGTGGGGAGATAGCTCACTGGCATAAGCACCTGCCTGGCAAACACAAGGTCCCAAGTTTGATCCTCAGTACCGCAAAAAGAAGAAAAAAAGAAAAAGGTGCTAAAATAATCAAAACTTTCTTATTTTGTTTTAGGCATTCAGAGGAGCCAAGCCAGGTTTGGTCTGCCCCTGAGCTACAGCCCCGTCCTTTTTTCTTTTTCTTTTTAAAATTTATTTTGAGACAGATTCTTACTAAATTGGCCACACTGGCCTTAAACTTCTGGTCCTTCTGCCACAGCTTCTTCTCCATCTAGGATTACATTTTTTGTGTCCATTTAAGATATGTGCATTTCTCTGTTGGAAAAAAAAAAAAGTTCTTGTTCCTATCTGTGTTTTTACCAGAGTGGTGTCCTCTCGTCCATCTGCCACATACTTATCCACTACTTATGGGGCAGGTGGCAGAGAGGGGGCACTGGGCTATCGTAGTTGCTCCCACATCAGGATAGTTTTAAAATCAACTAAGAACTGCATTAAAAAGAGCTCAGCCTTAAAGTCTCTAAATCTCTCAGGCTGCAGGAAACTGAAGAAGGCAGTTTATGGGGTTTTGTTTGTTTGCTTTTTTGGTACTGGGAATCAAACACATGACCTCATGCCTGCCAGGCAGGCGTTGTGTCGCTGAGCTATATCCCCAGCCCTGTGCAAGTATTTTAAGAGCTCTTTGGAGAATTCTACTCCACTAGTACTTTCTTTTCGGTGTGCTGAGTGTGAAAGCCAGCCAGGGCCGTAAGCAAACTGGTTAAGTATTGAGCTACATCCCCAGCTTGCTAGTGCTTTTGATGCCTACTGCTTTTAAGCAATAGTGCTAAGCTGTTGCATATTGTGGAT